CTCATGTATACCCATGGCATCTGTAAAACGTCCAACAGCCTAACCACCCTAAGAATGTGTCTGAATCACACCCAGCATTATCATTCAAAACCGTTTTTGCCACAACCCTCTTTTATAAAGAATGGAATGCCGCACACAAATAATAACGTCCAAGTTCTCAGAGTTTATAATCAGCTTGTGTCCTCATGTAGACAACTAGGAAGAGATAAAATTGCAAAAGTTCGTTCTAACTTTACAAGAAAAATGAACAAAGGAAATTTGCAACCAAGAAGAGAAACGCTGGGAAAGCTAGTGTTAATGGGTTCGTTTCTGGCGCCGACAATGTCCTTTAATAATACCTCGGTTGAGAAGAAAACCCCAGTTATAGAAATTACAAGAAAGGCTAAGAAGACAAGGAGTTACCTTATGGAATTATTGTTGGAGATCTACGAGGCCTTTCGACTGTGTCTTAGGGCTTTACGTCTGGTGACGACATTTACGCCGATCTTCGCTCTGTACCCCATGACTTTTTTCGGAGAGAGGAGTAAAGAATTGTGGTGGTACTTGCTCTTGCGGGGTAAGGTCCATCAATGTGTTTCCATGATATTCATATATATATGTTTGTATGATTTTGAGTTTGTGAAGTTATACAAATAATCATATGAATTGGAATAAGAAACTGATCAATTTCACTTGCTTTTATGAGTTTAAAGATGGTATCAAATGTGAAAATAAAAGAAGCTTTCTTGTGAGACAGAGATTCAGCTAATTTTGTATAGTTCTTACTGTTGTAGTCATTTTATAATTGACTGTAACTCAGTAACATGATAATGGTTGAAAAAATATATAATTTGATTTAAAAAGAACAATGCACTAGAGTGATAGATACACATGCTTTTCAGGAATTGAATTCTCAGGACCTATTCTGATAAAGCTAGGGCAGTGGGCCTCAACACGGAGAGACTTGTTCCCAGACTCCTGTTGCCGCCAGTTTGCGAAGCTCCAGAGAAGCGTCAAACCACACTCATGGAAGTACACAAAATATATGATGAAAAAATCCTTTGGTCCTGACTGGAGGAAGATATTTGTAAAGTTTGACAATAACCGAAACCCAGTGGGGTCTGGGTGTGTTGCACAGGTTAGAATCATATTTTTAGGAACTGTTTTCATATATGTGATTAGATTTTTATATGCTACTTTTCTCAGTAACTTTGACTATCTTCTTCATTGTCTTTCTCTTCCTTTTTTTTCTTATTTGATTCATATTTCATTCTTTCTGTCTTCTTTATTATCTTCTTCATTTTCTTTCTCTTCTCTTTCTTCATCTTGTTCATCTTCTTGTCATCCTTTTCATCCTATTTTTCAAGTCTTTTATCAACAAAGTGATTCAGGAAGATCATGTCTCTTTTTGGGGTACAGGGATCCTGCACATAGATTTGGATTTGTGTATAACATCTTTTAAAACATAGATGCAAGTAATTTGTTTTGTGATATGATTTCAAACAGTTTTAGGAATGCAAAAGGGGGTGATATACTATAGTTCTCATTTTAATATCAGCAGAACATACATAGACATATCTTAAAGTTTGCCAATGGTCTTACAAAATTTTTACAAATTGATAATACTTTTGCAGGTTTATAAAGTCTGGATGTCTGCAGAAGCCATTACAGATGAAGAAATACTCACTGAAATTCTGTCTGAAATGGAAGATGATGTTTCTGATTCATTTGAAGGTGAGGGAGTGTTTGAGTTTGTGGTTCTAGCAGTTGAGATTAATACACATGCAAAGTACTGCCTTTAAAGTTGCTGTTATTGAGAAGGTACTGCTCTTTCATTCTAGGTATGCATGTCATAGGATTCAGGAGTTTATTGGGCTTAGACGATGGAGAAGAGGTAAAGCAGAAGAGGATAATAGAAGAATGGAGGGAGAAGCGAGACCAGATGAGGAGAGAAGCAGAGGAAAAGGAGCGGAGGAGAGCAGGTATAGAGAAGGAAGAGCAAAACGTAGATTTGCATGACGTAGTTTTGGAAAAGGAGAAAGAGGAAATGTCGAAAGTAGACCCTGAAAATGGAGAAAAACGTGTGAAGAATAATGAAACAGGGATGATAAAAGGTAATAAAAAGTTTGTAGCTGAATCAAGTGTTGATGAAAGTGGGAAGGAATTAGTCGAAATAAACACTGGAATTATGAAGGAAAATGAGCAAATATTAGACATTTGTGCAAGTGCAGTGGTTAACAGAAAAAAGCAATTAGATATAGTGCCTGATAGAGATTTAGAAAAGAAAGCTGAAAAGATTAAGGAAATTACTTCAGACAACCAACTTTTAGAAAAGTTTTACAAAGAAGATTGTAAAGATACAACCAGTAGTTTTCAGTCAGGTATTTGAATACTGTTTTAAGTGCCAAGCCTCTTGTGTGTATCACAGCAGCCACCTACATTCACCAAATATATAAATTAGATATATGTTGAAATGACACTGGGAAAAATTAAAATGCAGTACACGATTTGCACTCCGAAAACACCTCTTTTCTTAAGCTTGGATAGTTGTTGTTTTTTCAAGTTGAATTTGACTACAACTGTGCATGATAAGCAAATACACAGTGTGTTTCCCCCTATTATTTCAGTGCACATATTTTTAACCTTACCAAAAGGAAGATGGCAAAGACACATTTCACTGGCAAAGAAATATCTTCTCTGATAACTTTGGACATTGACTCATACTCTTATTACTGCATGTCACGAAGCACAATCCTTATATCCGAGTTTATTTGAAATTCTCCTGAAATTTTGTATTATGAAACATAGTTGCCATTATATGTTACATGAAATTAGATTATTATTACTAGATTGTCTTATTTGTGCTTTTTATGCAGTGATCATAAATATACATGTGCTTTCAGAGAATGATGCTTCAGGTAAATCCGATGTAGATGTATTAACAGTAACAGAAAATTTGGTGGCCGAATTAGTAAATACTGAAGAAGATCAACAAAGACAAGCAGATCTGGAACCTGATGAGGAACCCTTTGAAGACACAACTGAACATTCATTAGTAGAGGTGGTTGCACCATCAGTCTTTCATTAATGTATTCCTATTGACTTTGCAATCTGTGGTGTTGTTGCATGTGTTTACCATTCTATTCTTGCTTGGGAATTTCATTGAAAAAATATTCCTTGTTGAGAACAGTTGTCAGCTAATGCAAACTAATCTTTCTCAATTCGTAGGAGTGGCAAGAAGGTGTGCATGACAAGTCCCTTCCACTGGAAGAAGCTCCGCCAGAAGACCTGGATGGCCTTGTCCCTGTGGCAGTTAAGGTTCTGCACCCTGGTATTTACTCGTGTTTCCGGTATGTTTCGAAGTTTTTATTGCATCATATTATTGTTATATTGTATGTGAATTTTCTTCAATTTTAACCTGATGCCACCAGGGATGGTGTGTACATACTTGCTATGCCCACTGTAAATTTATTTATTGATTGTCTTTACTCTCAGATGGCATCGCAAGTACTGAGTCATTAATAAGTCAGTTACTAGTACTGCATATCTCACTTGTTTAACCTTTTCCTTGATTTTTGGAAATATTCTTTTACTGTATATGTCTAGTAGTAGTGTCAATAACATTATAAAAATCGTAATGGCTATAATAATAATAACAACATCAATACTGATAGCATTTGTAAAATAAAATTTTTCTTAAAAACTCAAGGAAAGGTGAAATCAGGAGAGCTTACGAGATCTACTAAATGACTCCTAGATGTCTAAGCACTTGTGGAGCCTCTGCGTGTAGAGACATCACAAAATAACACTATAGTGAGCGCCACATTTTCGTGAAGACACTGCGTTAATATGCTCAGTTTATGGTAATGCATAATAATGTATAATCATGATGAAGACTTAATGCAAAGACAAAGACATACATGTTACTCATTCACAAGAATAAATACAAGTTGAGTTATTTGTTGTGCACATAAGCAGTTTCTTTTAATTATTTATAATTCATTGATTGATTCTTTAATATCTTTAGGAGAGATCTGAAGATTATGAAGGCCTGTGCATCTTTTATCTCGGCAATTTATCCTCCTCTTAAGTGGCTTTCCCTCCCTCAGTGTGTACAAGAATTTGCTGAGGTGATGTCATATCAGGTGAGTTGTTATAATTGTGCATGTAGGCATCTTTTATTCTTTACAATTTATATATTTTTTCTGAAACATGAGAGTAAAATTTCAGAGTCACTGATCTAGAATAGTGTATGAGAAAGACTTATTCCATGCTCTGTGAAGTTTCCATTCTCATTCTAAACTTTTTACAATTAGGGCAAAAACTTTGTGAGTTATGTTTTTCTTCTATGCAACTGAGGTTTTATTCCTTGTTTAGGATAAAGTCATTTCTTCCTTCTCTTTTAGGCAGAGAGTTTGCTGAAATGATCTTGCTTTTCAGATCGATCTCAAACTAGAAGCTGAAAATTTGGAATTGTTTGCTGAAAATTTTGCCGATAATCCCTATGTCAGATTTCCAAGAATACTGCGACCATATGTTACAAGAAAGGTAAAGGAGCGGAACTGTGGTAGGGTAGCTAGTTGTAAAAAGATTTGAGGATTTTTTTGTAATTAGTCATCCTTTTTTTATCACTAATTTTCAAAAAGTGGACTTTCCTTGTTCTTTGGCATGTAATCTATAGTAACCTCATATGATGTGAAAATAGAAATAGGTATCAAAAGAAAAAAAACATTCTACACATCAAATCTAAAGAATCATTTTGAATTTTTTCTGTAGTAGAATTAACCTTAAAAAAGGATGTTGGGTCTTATAAGAGTATTAACTTATAGAGCTATATTATCCTCTATCATTGTTATTTAATATCTGTATTGTAAAAATCTCCTTTATAGTTGTTTATTTCATACTATTAGGTGCTCGTTGAAACATTTGAAGAGGGAGAGCAGATGATTGATTTCATTGGCTCAACGGGAGAAGACAAACCTGCTGAGCTTAAGAAACGTTTGGCAGAGATTGGAGTTGATGCATTGCTGAAAATGGTAAGGAAGGGCCAAAGTTATCAGCACATGAAAGAATGTTAGATCCTTCAATGGTCTTTAAGTAATGGGTGTCTTTCCCTGTACAGGTTTTCGTAGACAACTTAGTGCATGGTGATTTGCATCCAGGTAACATCTTGGTTCAGAACAACAGTGCCAAGGAAGAGGGCAGCAAGGCAGCCTCAGGAGATGTTGTCAAATTCATGATGGTAGATGTTGGGTGTGATACTTTCGTCATGCATGTGGAACCAGACCCAAATCCACTGCGCATCTGTCTCCTCGACTGTGGTGTTGCATCCAGACTCAAAGAGAAAGACTTAGCCAATTTCAAGGCTGTCTTCAGACAAGTGGTTTTTGGTGATGTAAGTATTCTTGCCATACCAGTTGCATCCACAGCAAAACTTGTCATAAACTCACATTGTTCACCATAGTGTGTACATACTAGTATTATAAACAGATTGAAAACAAGTCAATGACCACCATTGGAGGATGAGTCTGACATCAAAGTTATTGTGATTGTATATGCTTTTGTCTTTCACATGTTTTAGTGTATTGCAGAAGCATTTTGACGTACTGTATGCCTTTACATTTACTGAAGATATTGGCTCTGCTAATTTTTGTATCTAAATAATTGTTTTTTAGGGAGAGTCTGTGGCAGACTTGTTCCTCAATAATAGTGAACATTGCTGTAAGGACCCTGAAGCCTTCAAAGCAGAGATGACCAGCCTTGTAAATTCAGCTAGGGAAGATACAATAGCATTATCACAGGTAAGTGTTCTCAGAGAAAAGGAAAACACTAAAACTTAATAATCCTATTTTTCAAGTGAAGGTGTTTTACCATGAACATAATCTTTGTTCATCGAGATTAAATAGCTCTGTATATGCTGTACTATATATGGATTTGCTGGATTATTAAGCACACTTATTTTCATTTTCAACAGATTGATGTGGGGGTCCTGCTTCAACAAGTCTTAGGGATCCTCTTACGTCATCAGGTACGGCTAGAATCTGCCTTCAGTGCTGTGGTCTTAGCAGTCTTTGTTCTGGAAGGTCTTGGTCGAACATTAGACCCCAACATGGATATCTTAGAGAGAGCAAGACCAATCTTGGTTACTGGAAAAGTGAAGTGATTGTGATACTTATGATCTGTGAGGATTAATTTGTTATTTACATCATTCAGTTCGGATCTTTCTCAGTTACAGTAATGCAGGGATTGTTTAATGGTGTTATGTTTGCGGGTTGACTCCTTATGGCATGATGTAAGCCTCAAATTCCAGTGGAGCAGCACTTGTTTATTACCACGACAGTTGTAAAGATATTTACATTCTTACTAGAGACTCCTGAAATTCCTCATCAGCTCTGTATACATAAACTGCCATGGTCGGATAACATTACTCCTAGTTTTAGCTTTTTCCAAAAATATTTTTTTGTATTGAAAAATTATTTGTATGAATATGTGAATGCAAATCGTTTGAGAAAAGGCAGTGAAATATTTATACCATGTATGATGATATGGCCACAGTTGCTAAAATGGCAAAATATAAGTAATGTAAGATAAAGCTACATTAATATTCACAGAGCTCAGCAAGCGTCCATGTGCATGACTGTCCTAATATTTTAAAAACTTTTTTCCAGAATAGTTACTTGCTGTGGTTAAATCTTGGGTGCATAAGGCTTTATATTGTTGAATTGCCTGTAGACTATCAAGGTTTTAGTATAGTTGATAGTGTTGCAGAGAATATAATACTATACTGGTATATCAGGTATGACTGTAATCTCCTATCAAGTCAGGTGGTGCCTTGTTGCAAAGCTTTTATTGATACAAAATTGGGTATCTTCATTGGGTTATGAAACATTTTGTAAATCGAGATATAGGTTAATTTCTTTAAAAGCAGAAATTGACAAAAGACACTGAAAATCCAGATCCAAAATCCAAAGAACAAAACAGAAATTTATGTACATTAGAACTATTTTTTTTTCCTTTTTGATTACAAAAATAATAGATATATGTGATATAATAGAATTATTTTGAGATTAGTTATGTAGAAATTCTGTATGTGACTTTCTTCAGCAACAAGCATATAGGCTGTGACATTTTCATTTCTTGTCCTTTATATTTAGCTTCATTTATGTCATACAGTGTTCAGGAAATTAAATATTTCTTTTTCTAGTCATGCAGATTAAAAATGAAGTCATTTTAAATACTGACATTCTTTGTTTCTAGCTTTCTTGATTTCTTTTTCCTTTTTTCTTCTGACGTGTTAGAGTAAGATAAGGGAAAGGCTCTGGGAATGAGGTTTGTATTCTATTCAGGTGATTTACTGTAGTTTGTAAGTTTTCCTCCTTCCAGATATTATGGTATATTCCTGTTTAGGAAGTAACTTGTAGTAAACTGCTTTGCCAGCATAATCTATATGAGGTACATGAGACATAATGTAGATTATGTTATGGTATTTGCTTGGACAGCTTTAGTAGTAAGAACCTGAAAGTGAAAAAGAGTAAGAATATAGCATTTCAAATGTTCGTGACCTTATTCCTTGCTAAAAGGTGCACATATGTCTCTCTAATGCATTGTTCGAGAATATGTTTACAATCTTGATGTTAATGTTGAATTACCAGAGCATTTTAGAACTTAAGCATTTCTTAGGGAAAAGAAAAATGCCAAATAAATACTGTGTGATAGTTTACATGATAGTGGACATACCCAGTGTGAAATTTCAGAAGTAGAGGAGTCCCATCATGTTTTTTGTTATATTTTGTTTGAATAGTTATTTAAAATTTGGTATTTTATTTTGTTATATTTTTGAATATTATTTTAAAAATTTGGTTATGATTGAGGATGAATAAACTTGATAATCTTGTTATCTTTTCCTACTACTAATATGCCTTGTATTGTCATGCCACCCACTCACCACTCACTCACTCACTCATTCTCAAATACTGAATTCATGCACACTCAGAGGGAATGGTAAATGCAATAGAGGTGGAGCCATTCTCTAAGTTAACACATAGTTGTAAGCCACAGAACCACATCAAATGTGAAGGTTCTTTAAACATAGTTTCCATATCTCTTTCTAAACCTATCACTTTGGTTCCTCAAAGGAAATATCTCGGGAAAAGATCTGAGGAGGAAGCTAGTGGTATAAGATCTCTAAAGGAGGAAAGCAAATTTAGAGATTTAGTTTAGAACTTCCTTGGACCAGGGACCCCTCAAGTTGATATTCTAGAAATGAGAAACTCCAGCTTACTATAGATAGTAACTGACTACAGACAGTGACTATATTGAAGAGTCAAGATGTTTCTATCTTTTGAACCTTTTCATTAATCAGAAAAGGTAAAAGTAAAACAATATTCAGTACAAGATAAGGTTTGGGTGCTAAGTGTAAAAAACAGATAGTACTGAAGATCTACATGATATGATTACTGTCACCAAGATTAATTATACTTGAAGATGTCTTACTCAACTAAATATGTTTCTTGCAGCTTACGTGTCGGAAGTATAAGCGTGTGTATTTCAAAATTACGACAAGGTTCACGATTTTCAACTTTTCAGATATTTTACTACTTTAAAAAAAATTTAAGAATGGTGTCCTATGATCTTTCCTGGTGGTGTGCATTGGAAATGTTTATTTTGAGGTTTTTAAGTGTCTTCCAAATATCTAGATTCTGAAAAGTAACCTTATTGAAAAAGTTATGACTTCTTCCAAATACCTGTTAAAAATAGGGGAAGAATGGAGAACCTGAAGCATACTGTATGTCTAAAATCAAACACAATATTTTACCTTTTAAGCCTTAATAAATAAGTATGTAACAACATTCTAATTTTGCTTATTTTAATGGATACTACTTCTATGATTATTTCATTCATCATTTAACTTATGCCTCATACGAGTAATTATTAGTGTTTTGTGTGTAGTCTTTACATTTAAACTTATATTGTTCAGAACAGCAATCATTGAATGGCTATGCATATATTTTGAAATGGAACTAATAATGAAAAACAGTAAACAAAACATTTTTCTTATTCATTGTAAAACGACAGCAAGGGCAAGAATTACCTTGCCAAATATGCCTTCATGTTATTACAAATATCTTTTTAGAAACCTTGAGAAATAAGTTTCAACAGACTTATAAAAGAAACATTTACACGATTTCTTAAAATTAAATTATTTAAAAGATATCTAGCCAAAATGTGGACTCAGATCCTCTCTTTCATCACATATTTAACATTAGTATTATTGAAAGCAAAAACTAGGTGATTAGAAACACACTTATGATTAAGCAATCTGTTATAATCATTTATTTTTAGGAACAATCAGTTTTACATGGTGTGTATATATATATGAATGTGATCAATATTTATACATTATTATATATAAATTTGTATTAATATATTTTTGGTAATATTTATTATTGTGACCTTTCTTTATTTCTTCACGTGATATTCAGTGAAAATTTCAGTAAACATAGCAAGGCACTGATTAAAAATAGCCAAGCAACTGAAAACTAATAACTGAAAGTATAAAACAAAATTTTATCATGTTTTTCTATCAAAACATTTACATTCTAATTCATAATTACACAAAGCTTATCAGCAAGAAAATGTAAAATCTTTGTCCTGCAAAGTTAAACAAGTCAGAATTAACAAAATGTCCTGATTTTACTTAAGATTAATGAAGCATAATAAAAAACTTATCAGTAGCTAAGGAAAAAAAAAAAAAAAAAAAAAAAAAAAAAAAAAAAAAGTATATGTGCAGTATGAATAGTTCTGCCCTTTCTTAATCAAATATTTTATGACGGCCACAGCATATTAAATGACAACTGTCCATTCCTAGTAGTCTAGTGACCTTGTTCAAGATTAAGAAAAAATTTATCAACATAATCATACTGCTTTGTAGAGGCGAACAACACTTTATTTCTTTTTCTTCAGCTCTTCGAATCTCTTCGTTAAGTCATCGAAATCAATATCTTCTGTTGTTTCGTTGGGATTCTGGACAGTATTTGAGCCTGGAACACTAGGTAGATCAGGTATGGTGGGCAAGTCTGGGAGGTTGAAGTCCGCATTTGTACCTTCACCAAACTTAGAGCGTGGACTTGGCTTGGGCTTATCACCATCCTGGAAAGTCAAAAAGTTTTTGGTGTATTTTTTATATATTAGAGAGAGAGAGAGAGAGAGAGAGAGAGAGAGAGAGAGAGAGAGAGAGAGAGAGAGAGAGAGAGAGAGAGAGAGAGAGAGAGAGAGAGAGAGAGAGAGAGAGAGAGAGATAGATTGTAGGAATTTATGTGACTTATAAATATATGCATACATGCATGTGTATAAATGCATTCGTATACCTGAGTATAAACCCTACTTACATGCCTACCAAACCTAATGTCTGCTACAACTAGAATATTTTATTTTTCTGAGTGTATTACCCACCAGAATGAGCTTTTCCCAGTAATCTAAAAATGTTTTATAGCACATACCCAATCAAAAATGAAGTGCATATTTGGAAAAAGTCTTAAAAGTATAACAACTATTCTCTTTAATCTGGCTGGCTCCAATTTCTTTTATATTTTCTATAGTTTTCTTATTTTTCACAAAAAAAGTTAAACAAATTTTAGGCACACCATGTTTTCACCTGTGATTTTTTTTTTCTTTTCTTAATCTTTTGGAGAGAAAAAAGGTATTTCCTTATTAAACCTTGCCATATGATGACTCTCGTTAGCATCATTAAGGTATTGGGCCATCAACACGCTCCGTATTCATTCCAAACTCTTGGAGCTTTTTTTTTGGGGGGGGAACATGTCTTCAATCAGTTACCAAAAAAATATTAATAAAAGGAAATGTGTGATGTGCAACAAAAATAAAAATTCATAAAATGCAGCTTGCAGGAAACATCTTGAAATTTCCAAGTTTATCATAGGCAATAAAGCATGCAACCTCTATTTTATAATCTCTTTTCATTCCTTCCATTGATGCATATTGAACATCCATGCATAAAACATCAGTAAATAAAAAAATAAAACAATACTAATAACAAAAAATACTAAAGATTATCTATTACACAAAACAGCCAAACTAAATATCAGCAAATGACATGATCATCACAAATCTAATTGTAAATCTAATGACCTATTTGAAAAAGTTGACCTAATATCACCCCTCAATGAATATACATTTAACCTACTGGGCATATGCATTGTTGATATAGTTTTTTGTGAATTTTGTTTATACATGTCTTAACAAATGCATAGTCACCACGGCTTGCCTGCCTAAACTGATAAACCCATCTTTCAAATTACGTTTTTTTTTTTTTTTTTTTTTTTTAATTGTTATTATTATTATTATTATTATCATAGATATGATTATCATAATACATTCAGAAAATCAAGTTAAAGTGTAAACAGGTGTCATAAGCTAGGCAATTGGTTTAACAGTTGTCTTCTTGGTGACAATGAATTCCTGAGGCCAAGTATGTGTAAACAAAATTAATAAAATAAAACTGTAGTCGACTGGGAATGTATGCATAAAAAGGTTCAGAGCTAATACACATAGCCCATGCAATATAAAACAATCAACTTTCTCTGACTAAATAGCATAACTAAAAAATAAAATTGCCATATTGTACAACTATTCCATAAGACGACAGTGTAAAGCAACCACATCCAACTACCTTCAGGTTGGTAGCACCTGGTGACACATCTGGAGGGAATTCCCTTCGCACAGGCTGGCCATCCCCAGGTAAACTAGGAGGTGGCGCATTGGGAGGGGGCCCGAAGTCTCCCGTGTGCCCAGAAGGCATGAAGGAGGAGTAGGGAGGAGGGGGTGAGTTGTCTAGCCCCAGCAGTTCATCCCACTTGCCAGTTCCGGTTCCGGTTCCAGCCCCACTAACGTTCTACAAAAGACAGGGTGCAATCATGCTGGTGCTCATACCGGGCGTGCATGTGCAGGCTCTCTCACTCCAGTGTGTTGGGGATAGGTTTTACACCTTGGGGGTATTCAACAATAATTCAAATAAGCAGAAAGCTAATCATAAAACTGAGCAAGAAACTTTAAAAAATAGATAGCAAGTCTGGATGTCATCCACTCACAAATCATATTGCAACACAATGTTCATTTAGTTTTCAATTTTTAAAAAAGTAATTCAAAATAATCCAACAGAGACTGTAAAAAAAAAAAAACAGTTCAACTGATATAAGAACAAAAAATTTAAAATAACAAGAACTAATCAAATATTTGTCTACTCACAAAACATTTCATCATAATGAAGGTTCATGTGAAAGGAACATAAAAGAAGAGGTTTTGGGTTTAATCATTCATTATACTCCAATTCCTCTTGCCACCATTCTAGCATTCATATCACACACTCATTTCTCTTTCCAAACATAACAAGCAGATGTTAGAAAGTACATGTCAACTGCTCAGCTTCAAGCTATCTTTGATTTACATTCCTAGAAATTAAACATAAGAAGCATACAAAATAACTACATTCATCAAGGGATAAT